TTCTGGGTAAGTATGGTACTTTACATTATTCTCATATTTGAATTAACCAAAAATAGTAGCAATAATAGTAATTAATTGTACATTTTGATATTTTTTCAGATTCGTTCAACTTGTAATATTAAATAGGCAACTAAGTAACATTTACTGAAATAATAATTTACTAAAAAAATATATTTTAATTTTATGCTAGTTATTTAATAATAAACAATTTTATATAAAAGTGCGAGGTAATCACTAGAAAAATTGAGAAATACAAAAAAAAATGCAATTTAATATTAATCAAGAAGTACAAAATCTCATTTTATCTGTGAACCCTAGCATGTGTTTTCATTTTTCATTTACTCTTTATTATAATAAAAAAAGTACAAAAATATTAAATTAAATTTGCATTCAATATTGTTATAAATGAAATTTAAAGTAACAATGACATTTTTTAAATAATTATTTTATCAATACTTTTATTTTTTACAATAGCCTATTTATTTAACAAATACGTTTATTTAAGATCAAGTAATCATATTTTATTATATAAAGAGCATTGCGCGTTTACATTAAAATTTTAAAATAAACTGTACTTTTTAACTATTTTATCATGTAGGTACTATGAAAAAGTACGATATCGATGATATTTTCATATCTTGACCGGAGTAGTAGGAAAATTCGCATTTAATAAAATTTCGATTATTAAATTAATGTTTGAAACTTTATTTTTGTTATATTTTATAAATTTTTTAATTTAATTTATTTAACAGTAAAGTTCAATTAAAGTATTTTAAACGTTTTATCAATTTTTTATTAATTTGTGGTGCTGCTTTTGTCGGACGCATATTTTTTTGTAATAAATACTTTATTTCAAAATGAAAAAAAAAATAGACTTGCATGTATAAGGAAACATAATTTCGTCATTTTGACATTTTTGGGGCGTCGGACAACTCGTATGTTGCATGATTTTTGTCGGACAAATTGACCACAGTTTTTCTCGAATTACTTAAGCAATTTACTCAAAATATAATTTGCATGCCATTTTGATATTTTGTATGTACTAGGGACTATTATGGATGGCATATTTACCTTTATTAAGTTTTAAATATTTTGGTTTTTACAATGGTGTGAAAGGTTATAAGTTGAAGGATTTTAATCTTTTTGTGTAACAATTTTTACAAGGTAAATACCTACTACGCAAATTTTTATTGCCTTGTCATTTTTAGAGACAATTATGATAAATAGCATGTTGTGATCGTGACCTACTTTGAGTGTAATATTTCATTACAAGAACCGATATTTGGCTTTTTTTTCAAGAACGACGTTTTACTAAATTACATAGACATACCTACTTGTTCCATCATTTTCTATTTTTATCTGATTTATCTACCAATTAATAATAATAAATTACTGCCAACAGTTCATAGCACTTATTTCAATAATTGACGTCTGCTATGAAAACACCTGGTAATACTAATAAGTCATATGTTTCAAAGAAACAATAACCGTTATCAAACTCATGTGATCCTATCATTCTTAATTAGTAGTAAAGGGTTTGGATAACATTTATTTATTTAGAATGACAATATTTATTGCTTTCTAAAAACTCTGATGACATGGTCAATATAATTAGGTGGTTATCGAAATCCTTATCTGCAGATATCCTATCAAATATTTAGTAACCTTGGCACTACACATTTGACACACCTTTATTCCATATACAGACAAATTAGACTAGAAGAGAGTAACTTCACTTAACATCTTCACTTTATTTCAGTTAGTTGTCTTCCACGCGATTGTCATTATTTCCTGATGATGGTTTAATAAGCCAAAACTTAAATGTTAATAAGTATACCTATACACATTAAAATAAGGCATTATTTCAATTTTTTTTAGTTACCTAACATTCCCTGCGTCTTTTTGTAGGTAATAAGATTTAAACATATTATATTAATTACTGGTAATAAATTATATACTACACATTTATCGTAAAAAAAAATTTATAGCAGTAATAACACAAGTGACTGTAGCTCTTAAAATTAATTTAATATATAGCATTTCAGTACCTGCATTAGATAAAACTCTTCAATTATAACGTTATAGCTATTACGAATTCCACTGCAATTGCATAACTGTTACCTATCTGTAGATATTATTAAACCCATAAGTAAAAGTATACCTGTATTCAGACGAGAAAGTTTTTTAGGCTTGGTTTTGAATAATGAGCAGATTGTTTCGATTAATAAAAACACAGTGTTGTCGGTACGGCTTGGGCAACACCAAATTTTATAAATAAAGGATTTAGATTTTCAAGGAAAGCAAACAGGGCCTTTCTTCCTACCGGAAAATCTGGATGGAAACATGTATCTGAATCTACTGGAAACGAATATCTACTCGATAATTGTGGAATAGGTTTCTGATTTCTCGGCCTACTTTTTTTCTCGGGGCTCGAGAATTCTCGCTTGGTATTGCAATGCGAAATATAAACATCATCAACATTTATTATTTATTCAGTATTTTTATTAATTACTTATATGTTTCTACTTTTACTAATAAAACTAAATTAAACTTTAAGTATCTTATTCTTAAAAACCTTTAACTTGTTTTTTTTATTAAACACTTTCATTAGACTTATGTTTATTTCAATGTTTTTGAATAGTACTTAGCTTTCTTCCAATAATTATTAATAATCATTAATCATGCAGTCTTTTAATTAAACATATAGTAAATAGGGAATTTAACCGAAGAAATTTAAAAAAAAAACAAGCTTTAATTTAAAGATATTAAAGATACAGAAGCGTTCTTCCTATTAATTTATCACTTATAATCACAATCTTTTAATTAACAAAACAAAAATAAAATAATCAACTAAAGGAACAGGAACTAAATATTTTCAGAATCAACATCAACATTAGGTATCTGCTTATAATAAAGTTTCTACACAGACTTATAACAAAGTACATTAAAAAAATAAGAATCGTCAAAGTAAGCTAAAGCCTTAAAAACTTAAAATAAATAAATCATGAGCTAGTCGAGAAACCACTTTAACCGCTCAGTTATTTGTCGAGAAACGAATTGAACGCATGAACGAAACGAACTCTAATCAAGACTTAAGACGTGCGTGATTTTTAAATTTCTCGATTTCTCGACACTTTTTTCTCGTCTCGAGTAAGGCCAGATTTCCCGGGAATTCCCGCTTCGAGAAGTCTCGACCAGAAACCCTATTGTGGAAGTATTGGAAAATGAGAACGCTTTGCCAGAAGAGGATGTGTCGTTTCAGAAAGATGGTGCTCCACCACATTATGCAGTAGCTGTGCGGTATTTTCTTAATCAGAACTTTCCAAATCACTGGATAGGACGTTCAATTGAGTGGCCTCCCAGATCGCCAGATCTAACGCCCGTAGACTTTTTTCTATGGGTACACTTAAAGTCGAAAATTTATGCAACACGACCGAACTCACTTGAGGAGCTTCGTCGACGAAGAATGTCGTCAGTTAACGCCCGAAATGCTTCGAAATGTTCGTCCGGAAGTGGAGCAAATTCTTTAATTCATTGATATTTTGTCTTATTCTTTAAGTGATGGTTTTACTTCAAACCAAAATTTAAAATGTTGTATGTTATCGTGAGCAGAATTGAAAAAGATTTAAAACAACATAGGGTGCCATTTACAGTTTAAGGGTATTTTACACCCCTGCCTAGGGGGTAGCTTCCAAGACACCAAAACTTACGTCATCACGTGCCTCCCTTAAGAAGAAAATCGACGTGTCAGGTTTTTTTGTTTTAATTACGATATTTTCTAGGTGGGAAGTTTTAACACCCTGTATATAACGCACTAACAAAAAATTGTTGACGTTTCGAAAATCCATAAATAAAAAAAATAATACGTGTTTGGAAAAACATTGTTACTTTTTTTTTATAAGTAATTAGCCCACTATTTCTTATCTTTGTAGAGGCATAAATATTATAGATCACCATTAGCCATCCATGTATTTGACAGATAAATTGAGAAGTGACGAATATCGAATGGTATGAATAGGTAATAGTTGCTCCAACAAAGATAAGGGGGTTTAGTTAAAAAAGGAAATATTTGAATTTTTAATAGCATAATTTTGAATTGGAATACTTATTTAGAATATTTTGGTGTTTCTGTTCAATTTTGTTTTTCTTGACTTGTATTAATTTATGCCACTGTTAACTTATTACTGGTAGTTTGCATTGGTTTTTCTTTCTTAACATGATATTTCAGCCCTTTTAAATTGTATTTTATTGGTTTTACTCATTTCTAAAAGACCCCTATATTTTCAAACTAAAATAAGAATTTTCAGCTTTTGGGACTTTGAGGCTCTATAAAAAAAAAACATGCAACGACATAAATTAATGATATTTTGGGTATTTGGATTTTAAATGGTGCTGAACAACGCAGTGTTGTCAAATTTCTAATAAAAAAAATCCTAGTACCTACGATTTTCCAAAAACATAATTATTAAAGAAATCATAGTAAGCCATGAGATAACATTATCTCCTTAGCAATATGTCCCATACGTGTGTCTATGAACTCCCTACTCTGAAAAAAATTGACATTAAAATCGCCCCACCCTGTAACATTCTACACTGGTGTTATGGATCAAATCTGTACACACTGTATATTTTAAACATGTAATTGCAAAATGCAAATTGATTATTCAAAATTAGGTCCATTTTTTCGGCATTGGAAAACAAACGAACAACTCAACAGGTTCCTAGTTATCTTAAATTGCAAATATAGCGTCATTTTTAATATCGGCGTTTGACCAATGCAACCTACACTATAATTATTTTTAATATTTCTTTCTAAGTAATGAAACCCGTTTCGTTAATGCATTTATTTATGCGAAAATCGACAAACTTTGAGATTATATTATTTATATTTAGTCCATTCATGCGGCGCCTGTTATCGAGTACGCATATGGATGGGCGTGGCCTGAGCCGGTTCCCTACGCAGTTCCAAGAGGGAGACACCGAGAAACATCAGTGTCAAGTCACCGCTTCGAAGCTTCGGCCGGGAAGAGCGTCGTATTTCACAACATAACATAAAATTAGTAGTAATCAACCGCATCGCGAGGCCCGATAGTGCAACAATTCGACGTTATCGTACATCAAGATGGAACAGTGATTGCAGTGACAGACTCGTGTGAATAAGTGTGCACTGGAAAGACGCTACAAATGAGGTTATCTCTGTAAATTCTACGAGTTTGAACGCTGGGAAAGCAAAATGAGTGTCAGTGTGGAAGACAAATACGCCGGCAGCCACATTTTTTCCGGCCTGACTCAGTATACGGGGTTGTCCACGGACCAGCTGAATTTTATAATCAGCCAACTTGTTGCGCTCGGGTTAGCTACCCTTTACCGCACCGCCTTACACCCGTCGAAGACCAGTACAGCGGTGAGGCACGCGTTTGGGCTGGTATTCGGGCTGATTATGGGTTATTTTTGTTTTGGATTCCAAGCCATCCACCTCGCCGGGTTACCTGCGGTATGTTATGTTGTGATGATAACGCAGAATCCCCATCTGATGCACGGAATGGTTCTGACTGTGGCCTTGATATACCTGTCGTGTCTTCACCTGCACAGGCAAATTTACGACTACGGTTCCTACGGGTTAGACATCAGCGGACCTCTGATGGTTATTACACAAAAAGTGTCTTCTCTAGCTTTTAGCTTGCACGATGGTTTGACTAAGAAGGAGGGCGAGATGACGGAAAGCCAGAAAATGTATGCTGTGTACAAGACTCCCAGTTTTTTGGAATACTTCAGTTACACCCTAGTGTTCCCTTCGCTTATGGCGGGACCAGTTATATTTTACAACGATTACATCGATTTTATTGAAGGTAAAAGTTACGGGAATGTAGTGAATAAATCGTGCTGTGGCTGCGTTGTGGTAAACGAACCTAGCCCCGTTCGAGCGGTTATTAAAAAAGTGATCTTGGGGTTGATATGTGCTTTAGTATTCGTGAATTTCCTACCAAGATTTCCGATAAGTCGCTTGAAGGATGACCACTTCGTGGAAAACACCAGCGTTAGTTATAAGTTTTGGTACCTGACTGTTAGTACAACTTTAATGAGATTTAAATACTATTTCGCGTGGACTATAGCTGATGCCATTTGCAATAACAGTGGCATAGGGTATAACGATGATGGTTCCGCGAACTGGAACAAGATTTCCAATGTAGATATATTTCAATTCGAATTTGCCACAAGTCTGAAGCAAAGCATAGAGGCGTGGAACAAGGGAACGAACACATGGTTAAGACTGATAGTTTACGAGAGAACCAAGAAGTACCCCACTATATTAACCTACGGTCTTTCGGCGATATGGCACGGTTTTTATCCTGGGTATTACATAACGTTCCTCAGCGCCGCTATTTTCACTTTCGCCGCAAGAACCGTGAGGAGACACGTTCGCGGATACTTCATGGGAAGCAACGAATCCAAGCTGCTCTACGACATCCTGACCTTCATCGTAACCCATTTCGTGTTAGCTTACGTCACGTTTCCTTTCGTTCTGTTAGAGTTCTGGGCAAGTATAAGACTGTACAACAAAATGTTTTGGTGCATCCACATCTTCGCCGTGACAGCGTTGATCTTCGTCCCAAAATTCGTTCAAAAACCGACCAAAGCCGAATATACCCAAAAGAGCAGTATCGCTCTAGCTCTGAGGAAGGCCCGGCCTTACTCCAATTCAGTGGGCCACACCGACTGATTTTTTCGACCACGAGTTCACTTTTACCGTAACTTTGGTTAGGTTTTTTTTTTGAAGGGTATATTAATATAGAGCCTGTTGTATACTTGTTTGATATTTGCTTGTTGTCCACGTAATAACAATTGTTATTTATAATTCCGAATACCTGTAATCGTTAATGTTTACTCACTAAAGTTCTGATTCTAAACACGTAGATGTGTATGTTGATTATGATTTATTGAATGAAAAATTTCCGTTGCATGCTGCATACCAAAACGTTTATGTTAAGTCAATTACACCAAATTATAACGCAGATGTACGATTTCAGAATGGTATTATTTGTAGTGACGATGATTTGTAAAATTATAGGAATGGCAGTATTAATCACAAGATTTTATACGAAACATTGTACCACGGTGCCAAATTTTTAATCTGTACAATTAGAGTATAAGTAGGCATGTCATTGTTGCTTTAGGATTTGTTTATATATTTGTCTTCCATTACTCTGCCAAATATGCAACAACACAAGGTATATATAGTTTGTTGAAACTGTCAACTAGATGTAAGTGGTGAAGCAGCTATTTTGTATAAATATTTATATGATAATTAAACATGTTAAATCCACAAATTGATGTGATTTTATTGTTATCATAAACTGCATATATTTGTATACGAGTTGAATCAAAACAGTGACGTAATCATAATAAACAGTGATAAAGTAAATCGCCTGATGTATTAGTGTGTCAATATGATACAGCTTATCTCGGAACTAATAATTTATTTTAATTATATCTGCTTCGTCACTTTCGCTAAATTCTTGGTTGTAATCTGTTGCCACGGAGAAATTGCGAAAAATAAATGAAATTAGATAATTGCAATTTAAATGAACAATTTTAATTAACGAGTACCTACGTAATTAAAATTTTTTATGATAAATAAAAAACTATAAATATGCGAAAACTAATTTCCCTCTAATGTTCGTTTCAATTTTATTTTCCATTTTATTATTCATAAAAGTCTATAACAGACTGAAAACTAATTAAATTTCCTGCTAAAATGTTTTTTTTTTTTTCATTTTAATTGTGCTTAAAGGTAATTGCTGTTACTTTATACAGGGCGAAAATAAATACTTGAGAAGATTAACAAAAAATTCCTATAAACTTGGTTTTTTTCGAGATACATGGGTATTTAGAATTTACGAAAATGTGTAGTTTATTGCAAAGTCCTGTAAATAATGCTTTTTGTCATCCATTAGGTAACAAGGTTTTATTTCAGCAATGGGTTAATATTTCGAGGATTAACATGAACTACCAAGATATTGTCCAATATTTTATCATTTATTTGGAAAATATTACACTCTACTGACGTGCTCAATGTTATATCTCCAATACGAAGCATTTTTTGACACTATTGTAGCAACTTTTTGTTATTTTCGAAACGGAATCATGATAAGTACACATAATAATTAATTTATTTTTTTTTGCTAATAAACGGTTTTAACGCAAAAAAGTAAGAGGTAAAAGTTTTGAAATAAACCAGGCTATAGATACGTATTTTTGGAATATCGATTTTTGTCAAACAAAAAAGTTATTGGGGCATTTCACGCCAAATTCCTTTCGATTTGGCTGAAACTTTTTTATTGTTTTCTACCCCATAGAAAACCTCTGACAATTTTTTTAAATTTTTTCACCTAACCCAAAAAGATGAATTTTTGAAAAAAATAGCTTTATCAAAAATTGAGTTACCGGGAATAATTTTTTTTCAAAATTAGTGTTTTTAAATGCACTTTTTGAAAAAAAAATAGATCAAAATTATCTGGACCTATTTCAGTTTTTTTTCAATTTTCGAAAAAAAGTAACGAAAATTTCTCGATGAATCATTTTTGAAATTTTATTTTTTTTTTATAAAAAACTGACAATTTTTATAAATCCACAAATTTTTGACAATTTTTATAAATCCACAAATTTTTTCAGTGGTTTTTCGTTTTCTATTTTTTTTATCGATTGAAAAAAATTTTTTTTTTCAAATTTAGCTTGTTTCACAAACCATTTTGAAAATTTTTGAAAATGTATATAGAATTCCAAAACAAAAAATTTATTCTATGCAGCGATTGATGACAATTTTAAAGTCAAAAGAGGAAATTTTCGAAATGATTTATTCCAGTTCAAATGCGTTGCATGTTTTTTTTAAGCGCACTGTTCGTCCAAAAATGAACCAAATAACAAATTTTTTTCATTTTCCTTGTTTTCGAAAAAAATACAAAAGTTATTCAAAACGATCTTCTATTTTTTTCTTAACTTTTTCAAAAATAATCGATTTTTTTCCTGTTTGCCACTTTTTCTTTCATAAATTTTATTTTAATTTTGGGATTCTATATACATTTTCAAAAATTTTCAAAATGGTGTGAAATAAGCTAAATTTGAAAAAAAAATTTTTTTCAATCAGTAATAAAAATAGAAAACGAAAAAACCACTGAAAAAATTTGAGGATTTATAAAAAATGTCAGTTTTTTTATAAGAAAAAAAATTAAATTGTAATCATCGAGAAATTTTCGTTTTTTTTTCGAAAATTGAAAAAGAAAACAGTGAAGGTAGGTCCAGATAATTTTGATCTATTTTTTTTCAAAAAGTACATTTAAAAACAAATATTTTGAAAAAAAACGTCCCGATAACTCAATTTTTGAAAAAGTTACGATTTTAAAAAGTAGCTATTTTTCCAAAAATTCATAACTTTTTTGAGTTGGGTGAAAAAATTTGAAAAAATTCTCAGGTTTTCAATGGGGTAGAAAACAATAAAAATGTTTCACCCAAATTGAAAGGGGTCAGGGTTAAAAGTGATTGATTTGGCGTGGAATGCCCCTATTGCAAAAAATAACTTATTTCAACCCTCTCCAAGGGGAAGAAATTTTCATAATATTGTTGAGAAGTTACACACACGCATTAGTAGAAAAGTTGTGTAAAATTTGAATATTATAACTCTTTTGGTTTTCAAATTCCATATATTTTTTAAAACTTTGTGGATGGACGTTTTACTAAGGTCATTTTTATGCAAAACGTGTTCTTTTCAACATGTGTCATTTGTGCTACCTCTTTTTAAAACACCCTGTATAAATAAGTATCTACCTCGTTATACTTAAACGAATACAGACAAATAATTAAGTAATTGCTATAACTGACCATAAATTTTCACAGAAAAAAATGATTATTTTTTAATAAAGTCTGCATGTATTTACAAAATCGTAAATGAAAGAATTATGTGCAATACAGCGAAATGGTAACAAAAACTAGTATTTTGAAACGTACATGGCATAAGTATGAGAATTTTTATCCTTGTCCATTTTCTACAAACCGGAATTTCGATAGATGCAATATGATGGGATTCATTCAGTAACTGTCGCTGGAAGCAATGAAATCTGGCTTGATATGTTTTCGATGCCTTTTCAATCTCGAATGATGACCTCGCCATGGTAGAATAAAGATGAAAATCGCTTTGTTTCTGAAATTTTATTGCCTGCGGAGGCAATTAAAAACCTCAAGTCTAATTTAATTAAGACGAACATCGGAATTTTATTGGTTCGTGTATTGTTGGAATAATTTCTTTTGTTTGTACTGGGTTGCTATCTGATCAAACTCGATTTGTAAAAATTGCAAATTATTAATGAATCAGCTTATATTTCCAACACAGCAACTAATTTCTTCATAAAACTCATGTAAACTTCGATTAAATTAAGAATTAAAATGCAATTTGTAACTGCTACTGATGTAGTTGATTAAAAGTAAATAGCGATAAAAAGGTACTGCATTCCTAACTATTAATATTGCAGGAAACAACTATTCATGTTCTAACTATCATTGAATTATACCAACAATGTCTAGCGAATAGCTAGCAACAAATAATTAACCAAAACGAAAATTAAACATGTCTAAATATAATTAATATAAAAACACATACCGGAATACATTAAAATTGTTAAATAATACAATCATTCAAAGAATATCCTGTATTCTTGCTGTTCTTTTGTCACCTTTGACAAAGACTAATTGCGTAGAAAACACCTACGGCAGAAAGACCTTTTTGTATTCACATTTTACTTAGCATTGTCTCATCAGGTGGGTACTTTGCGGAAAGAAATTAGAATTTGTTTGAATTAGCTTCATACCTATCAATTAAAATAAAGTAAAAGGATATTTATGCATTCATTATATCATTTTTGGGATTTTTAATCGGTTGTGGCAGGATATTGCGTAAACTGTAATCAAGACATGTTGGTATCCATGTTTGTTTTTTATTTAACAAGTACCACGTTTTGTCTTACGACTTCAACTACGTTTCACTTTTGAAACTGGGCTTCCTGCTTGTGTGTTAGTGGTTTATTTTTGTAATACACTAGTTCACATGATGTTTTGAACACATAATTTACCACCTCCTACACCAATAATAGGTACATAATGTAGTTATATTTCACATCATATTTTGATCCCCATCTAGCATATTCTATTTTAGTATATTTTTCGTTATCAATAATGGCTTGGATAATTGGATTTCCGGTTACGTTTTTTGACGAGTTATAAATTTTTGTCATAAAAGATAATTGAAGAATTCTATCTGATGAAGTTTACCTACGCATATTTTTTATATAAATATTCTTAAATCTCTCGCTTTGTTTAAATTTTAATGAAGAAAACATAGTTTATATTGCACTGAATATACAGGGTTAAAATTCACCAAAGAATACGAGGTTTCATTTTTGGTCACCATGTGTGAATCACCCTGTATAAGGAAGTCAACAACATAGTTAAAATGGTTTCTATTTTTATAACTTAAATTTAACCTTATAAATAAAAGAATAAATCAAGTCTTGCGTAATTCCCTTTTGATGTCATTCTCCACGGAACTAATTTTAAATCAGGTTATTTTTCCAAAAATATAAACGGCAACCCATACGTTACCCATTGTACAATATTGCCTTGGCATTGGCATTCCCTATATCCAATATTGTCATCGCAAAGCATTTATACGTTCCTATAAATCTACTGGAATAAACAAATTTAACCTATTCAAGCAATAAATACTATCGAAGTTATGTAATACTTTACATAAGTCATATGTTTATCTTTACATATTTATGTGTTTGTAAACTAACTATCTACTTTTAGCTTTTATTTGTATAAACGCTGTTTATAAATAAGAATCCGCTAAAAGTGTAAATATTGTTATTTTTCCGCCAGGCAAGACGACAGTGTTGTGTTTAGTGACCTAGATCTAAATAATTAAGTGATGATACCTCGGTAAAAGTAGATCAGTTGGTGGCATAGGTATTTCGTTGTAAACGTGTCTGCTAAGCAGTTGTAATAGTGCCAGCAACGAAATAGAAATAAAAATGTTGTATTGTTAAATTGAGTAACTTCTATTTATAAATCTGCATATTTTGAAACAATCGTGACACATGTTTAAGCTGAATGAACTTGACACTTCTAAATTATAAAGGTCAGATTGTGAAGATTATAACGAAAATATTAGAGATAGTGTATGTTCTTGTTTTATAGAATTTTCTGAGAAAATGCAAGATAATACATTTTATTATCTTAATTACTTACCCAGCTTATCTATCTATTTGATATTATAACA